AATGCCTGAGACCCAAGAACCGAGGTAGGACCTGAGCCGCATCGTGCCTGCCCCCGCCCTACCTGTGGGGGCCCGGGCGGGGTCGCTAAGGGCCGCTCCAGGGAGCCCCGCGACGGCGCGGCTCGGCGACGGAGGCGCCTCGTCTCGCCGGGGCAGAGCTCAGCAGCGGCTCCACGACTTCAAACTCCATCGGGAACTACAGGGACAGCCCCGTCGGCGGCGGCGGAGGCCGCAACCGGGCCTCCTCCTCCTCCCCCTCCGCCTCCTCCTCTTTCTCACCACGGAGGCGGACCTGGAGGGCTCCCGGTCTGGTTCTCGCGAGAAGATACCTCCCACTTCACGCGAGATTACGCAAGCTCGTGAGGCAAGAGAGGTGGGAGCTCTCCAGTGGGTCACCTAAAACGGGTTTCGCCTTCTTTCTGATAGAGTCTATACTCTCCCAGTCATGTGTTGAGGGACACCCCGAGGACTATGGGAAGCGCAGTTAGGACTGGATAAACCGAAGGGGCTTGTGGGAAACTCCTTGCACTTTCTTTGGCACCCGGGAGTTGACCTGTTTGACACTGGTTCTAGGAGCAAGTGATTTAACTTCCCTTTTGAAACACCTAAGGCCTATGGAGAGCTCTAGTGGCTTAGTGGTAAGCAGTTGCTCTGGCAACACAAACGTACACAGTTCAAATCCACTAGCTGTCCTTGTGAGAAAAAAGCTGGGCAATCTCCTGTATTGCTTCTGAAGACTCGAAGGTACACAATAAAAATGAAACACGTGGTTATCGATTCACCTATATTTCCTTGTACTTAACCCTCGATTTGGAACCCGCTCATAACTGGCCCTCCTGCGGATTTTCAGGTTGTAAATCACACTGGAGGAGACTGCCAATCCTTCAAGAGGATTCGAACCTCTTGAAAAGCACAACTCTCTGCATGAAGAACTAGGCCACCACAGCTCATCTCTTACTTAGAGTAGAGCCTCAAAGGTTAGTTGTTAGGTACCATGAACTTGTGAGTTGAAATTGACCCATAGCTGACCCTCAGCGGGTTTTCTGAGGCAGTACATCACAGGTGGGGGTTGGAAAAGGGGAAGGACTGGCCATCTTTCTCCCATGGAATAGCTGGCTAATTCGAACAGCTTAGTGTGCCTTTGGAATTGCAGCAGTTTCTTACGCCTAGGCCACCTTTCACCCTAAAGGCTAGTAGGCAACAAAGTTTAAACACAAATTCGGGCATTAAAACTCAAATATTTAGTGGAAGATTTTCCACCGGGAGGGGGAGAAAGGATTTAAATACACATGGTGGGGTGAGAAATTAATATATGAGCGACTATGTCAAATAGTATTTCATTTTTACTCTTGCAATTTTGTTGGATTAACTCCACAAAATAGTCCTAAAGACAGATACTTTGTACTCTTTGTTGCAGAGAAACTGAAGAACAAAGACAGGTTAAGGAAATTGTTATAATTGTAATTTAAGGTGCAGTTAAAAGTATCGGTTCAGGTAAATGTAACATGAATTAAGACAAATGGGAAAAGTTTATACACTGAGTTTTAAAAGAGAAAGTTTGTTATTAATAGTTGTTTAACGAGAAAATGAAATATTATTTTGAGATTGTTCGCCCTGTCAGAGATTTTTCTTTTATGCATTAATATCCCTTTCTTTCTTCACTCTTTTTGTTTTGGGTTGTTTTGTTTTGGGGGGGGTTTCCTGCCTTAGGATTTATTTGTACAAATAACACAGGAGGACACCAGCCCCATGTAGATGTCAGCACACCGGTCCTTCTGTCATCAGATGGAGAACTCAATTATAGAGCCTTTGCAGGGGCCTGAGCACCTTTAGGAGCCTGGCTTGGAGCAGGAGCCTGGCTTGGAGCAGGAGCCTGGCTTGGAGCAGGAGCCTGGGTTGAGGCCTTAGCTGGTGCCTGGGCTGCAGCTTTGGCTGGTGCCTGAGTTGAGGACTTTGCTGGAGCTTCGGCCTTACTGTCACCCTTGGCTTTGGATTTTGGCCGGTTAAGCCTGAGCTCCTTGGCAATGCAGGCCCAAGCACGCTTCCCAAGCCTGGGATGGGAGATGTAGGGGAGTCGGCTGAGCTTGCGGTTGACTGCCCTTGGGATCCTGGGCTTGACCTCTTTGGGCTTGACAAGAGCCTTTACAGCCTCAGCACATTCATCTATGGCCTTGGCATTACTGGCCTGCATCTTCTTCAGGCCCTTGTTGTTGGGCTTCTTGGCAAAGTGCAAGTTCATCAGGAATTTGGGGTCTACCCCCTTAAGAGACTCATATCGTTGCGATCTTGGTTTCTCGATACTATTTCTGTACCATTTTCGGGACTGGTTGTGTGTGGTGTGTGGTTCTTGGACTTGGCCATGTCTGCACCATCACTGCAGCTCCCAGAGCGCCAGCGACCGGAAGAGAAAGAGTCTTCACTCTTTTTGAAACTCATGCCAGAAAGGTTCCTTAAAAGGGTTCATTCAGTATTTTCCATAGCACTGAATATTGCTGGGACCTGTATCAATATACTTGATTGTAGGATTTTTCAAAGGTGATCACTGTATTAAAAATTGCAATCCCATTGCCCCTTCCCTGACACTCTCTACATGATCTTTAAATTCATTTCAAAATTTTATATATAAATTAGAAGACAAAGACATACATTGGTACTACTTGTTTGTAGTTTTGTCTCCTGCCACTGTTTCATTAATGATTTGTGTCTGTATACCTAATTTTTAGTACAGGTACCCATTATATGGACTCAGTAAATAATTGACTAATGATTAAATGAGTTGTTGTTGTGTACCATTTAGTAAGAACTGACTCACATCTGACATTCCAGTGAGTTTTCAGAGGAATAACTAGTTGCTTGGGAGAACATTCTCCCTCTATTCTGCAGAGGAGCTGTTGGACTGGAATCACATACCTGTTTTTTGGAGTGTTTTCTTTTTTTCCCCCCTCTTGTTGTGTACCTTCAAATCTGATCCAACTGGAACGAAGGAAGTTGCCCCTCCTCCAGCACAGCATCTGGTGGATTTGAACAGGGTCCTTCGGTATTACAGTGCAGCTTCTTGCCACCAGAGCTCCCTTGGAATCACTTATCTCTGTATTGGCAGTGCAATCCCTTACCACTGTACTATCACAGCCAGGAGAAATAGTTTCCTCCTTTAAAATTCAGACACAAACACAGAGCTCTCTATTCCCATCTCCATTTTATTGTTTCTTACATCCCAAAAAAAAGCAAGGATTTTTTTTTCTTACAACAAAGTAACAATCACTTTTTCAGGATCTTTTAACACAAATGCAATACAGAAAAGGCCTGAAAACTTGCAGTTCTTTTAATATCTGAAACATAGACCACTAAAATGTTTTAAATAAATGACTTCTATACATTGTCATACCTGCATTTAAAAATAAGATGCCATTTTCTTGAAATTGTTTAGACACATCATGCAATCAGACACTCTTCTAGGAATGTGTTGAGATCATTCTGTACTACCCAACATACAGAAATAATAAATAACATTTATCACTTTCACAAAACGCACCCCTGAAAGTTTCAAAGTGCATTAAATTTTTTTCACAACAATCTTACAAGGCACACTTAAAAGTTAAACACAGCTCCAATGGTGACATTATCCAAACAACCAATATAGTAAATACAGTTTCTGCCCCCTCAAAATGTTATTACTTTTTTTTTAACCATCTCCCTTCTACCTATATCCCTCCCTCAAAAAAATTTTGTTCTAGGAAGCAAAAGTAAGAAAAATACTTCCTTCACAAGTAAATTACTTCTGAAAGAGATTTCCATGTCCACAAATGGTCAACCTTAGGTAAATCAGAATGAAAATTAAGTGTTGAAGGTTCATGTTCTCCAGTGGAAAAACTCTTTAGAATAATTCTGCATCTACCAGAGTACTAATTTAGCAACTTTCATAAAGACACAAAACTGTCTTCTGCTTTTCCCTTTTCTGTTCTCAGAAACTTGGGAAGAATAAAACACAAAAGCATACAGTTCATACAGTTTTAGACCTGGAAAAATTAGTACAAATAACCAAAACCTAAACTATTATTTTACATATGAAATTCAGAGCAGTTCAATGAGTGTCTTGCCCAATGTCACTATCTACTGAGCTACATCATAAAGGTAGTTTTTTTGTTCTGTAAAATATGAAAGCTGAATTCTCTGGAATCTCTTCCAGATTCAAAATTTGATACAGGACATACTTTTTTCACAAAAGTATCACAAAAAAAAAGATATTTCACATTCATAATAATTCACCAGTAAAATTCTCAGAAATGATACAAAGTATACTACATTTGGAAATAGAAAAGGTCTGAAAAAGAAAATATAGCAGTTTACATAAAACTGACGTAAGAAGAAAACTCTTTAATGAATATTGGCCATGCATAAGGAAATTTTGCTACTCTCAATTTGACCTCTTTCCCAGTTTAAAGAAAAATAAAATCACTTTTATTAGCTTTTAAAAGGACTGCTCAACACTAAGGCTCACAGCCATTGGGCCATTTTTGACTCAGAACAATCCCTCTCTATTGGTTTTCTGAGGCTATAAATCTTAAGAGACTGCCCATTTTTCTTGCTATTGACTCAACCTGCTAATCTTCTGATTAGAAGCTCAACAAGCTATGAACCTTGCCACCTAGGAGACTGATTTTAATTTTGTTCTCTCCCTGTTATGCTAATTCAGATTTTGGATTTTATATTTAAAACAACTCTGTGGAGTCTCCACATCAGAATCTGGAAATCCTATTGGACCCCTTTCTGTCACTAAAATCAAGAAGACTTAAGAAAGAAACACTATTTCTTTCAGTAAAAGTTAGAAACAATACTAGATGAAAACGAACCACTACAAAATATAGAGAGATACACTAAAATAAAACCTAAAGACAAGAGGGGAAAGTGTTACAAATGTTACATCTCTGCAAAGACTGGGTAAAAGCATGAGAGACTTTTAACCAGTAAATAACCACACAGTGGTAAATGCGTGTTTCTAATTACAGTAAATTTTGCCTTTTGAGATCCGGTCTAGATAGTTTTTCACCATTGCTTCTGCCATGGACTGAGGTTAAATGCTTTTTGAGGGCAGATTTGTGTTTGAAATCCATGTCACAACAATGGCATTTGTATGGACGATCCCCACTGTGTATATTCAAATGGTCCTGAAGGGTACTTTTGGCAGTAAACGTTTTTGAGCATACAGTACACTGAAAAGGCCTTATGCCCATATGCCCTCGAATATGCCTGTTGAGATTTTTCTTCTGCGTGAACGTTTTGCCACACTGTAAGCACAGGAATAGTTTATGCATCTTAAGGTGGCGCAGATAGTTTTCAACATGAAGAAAACCTCGAGGGCATCTGGGGCACTGATGCCTCAATGAGTAACTCTCCTCCAGATTCGGAATCTCATTCACTAAACCATGATTTCCTTCAGTATTGTCGCAAAATATGTCCTGACTTTGATTTCCAGAAATTTCGGTTACTCTGTTCTCAACAGTAGAATTGATCAGTGAATGCTGTGTTTCAGAAAAATACATGTTTGCGTCTGTGGAGGTACAAGGCTGTGAAAACTGCCCATTTTCTAGATTATCTGTACTGATAGATTCCACGCGAAGGATGCAAATTTCATTGTCTTTAAAACCTATATCTACTGGAGACAATTCTGGTGTCTTTATTTCTTCTCTCTCTGAAGTTTGGCTCTCTACTGTAGTTTGTAATGCATTGCTTTCTTCTTTAATGTGCAAATCCATGCTTACAGGACTGTCTTCTGAAATTTCTATTATCTCACCATCTTTATCGGTTTTTTCTTCTTCGTACTTAACATCTAGGTCAGAAGACTGACACAGGTCAATATGCTGGCTGTTGTTTTTCATAGAAAGATCAACTTCCAGATACTTTGACAATGCTTCTGTGCATTTTTCCACAATGTGGACCATTTGAAGATAACTAGCAGCAGTCAAATATTTCAGAAGTTCTTTCCTTTTAACTTCAAGTGCTCCAGTATAGCAAGACAGCAATAATTTTCTGCCAATTTCTGCACTCTGCAAGATGGTGATTCTGACATGTTTTGATTGGGTGAGTAAAAATTGATCTCTCATAAAAGTGGAACAAGCAGCCAAAATCACCTTGTGTCCCTGGAACTCAGTGTCATTAATATAAATTGATACATCACAAAACAAATTCTGCTGCCTCAAAAGATTCATTTTCTGCAAGACCACATCTCCTTGTTGCTCAAACTGGAAGTGGAGAACATCAGACTCAGCAGCCATGGTCACAATCTAAACAAAATAAAAACAGACACATTGATTTAAGATTGGGGAAAACGCTTTCCTCCAGTGTGATTAGTTTTAAAAAAATTTCCCAAATCAAATTCTAATCTGGGTACTGGAAGTGAACTTCTATGCCTGTGTTAAAATTCAGAAAATCATAGTGTATTGCTCTGTGATCTCATAGCATATTTTTCACGTATTTCCTACAGCATGCATCACTTGGGATTGTAAAACAATAAATAACGATATTACAAAGACAATTAAGTTTGTATTTGTTAGTCCCTTTTGCTAAATAGTATGCACCTTAAGATCAAAGTCACCTTCTTAGTTGTTTTTTTAAATTTTTTAATTTTATTTCATTATTTTTTGTGTGTACTGTCAAATCAGATCTGACTGGTACAGGAGATTGTTCCTCCTTCTCCAGCAGAGCATCTGGTGGATTCGAACCGTGCACCTCTGAGATTGCAGTGCAACTTCTTGCCCTAGGCCACCAGAGCTCGCCTCACCTTCTTAGTTTTGACTATCCAATATGAAACAGTACGAACTACAAAGTAGATTTAACTAACATAGTATCCTAAATCAGGCACTTTAATCTCCAAATTCCTATTCCCAATACTACTGCATCAAGTCTCCTTACCATAGTCTCCTGTATCTCACACTACACTATCACCAGAATTCACACCTATAAAAAATTTGCTCTTCTGCTTTAAATCCATTCTGACTAACCAATCTCCTCAGTATACAAGATTTTCCCCCCACTATTATCTTTATCTCAGACTATTCTCTATTTCAAAATAGAAGTTTCTTCAATTTAAAATGTTTAATTATTGCCCATAGCAGAAAAAAAACCACGAATACATCATTGCACATGTCTGATTTGTGCTTCTAATTGCTTTTCCATTGAGTTGTTTGGCTCCTTTTAGGTCCAAATAAAATACTACTTCAGTGGTTCCTTCTACTGTCTTCCCCACAGTCCGATGAACCTAGAGAAACATGCGATAGTGCCAGGCTGGACAGGGGTTGGCACAGAGTACAAGGCTCTTAAGGATCATTTGTTGAACTGAAACAGGATGGCAAAAACTGCAACTGGGCACACAGGTCTCCCTGAGCCGAGCCAAACGTGTCAGAGCCAAGGCCCTATCGACTAAGCGGTCAGAACAAATTATCTACCAGGGACTGAGCTCAGCTATTCATCTCCTTTTTCTATTCCTCAGCCCTCGCCTCTTGCCCGTCTTCTTCACACTTACACGCAAACACAACTTGTCAAGGATTCCACAGCTGCGGCGGCCCAAACCGGATGCTGATTTGGGAGGAAATACATCCGGCATCTGCGCCCCGGAAGTACATCATAACCAGCGCGCTCTCGCTTCCTCACTCAGTTCCCCAGTCCTTTAATAACATACGGATACTCGAATTACAAGAAACTCTTATCTTTGCTCAAGGTTTTGTCGCGCAAGCAGCGCCCCTTCAGGAATTCTTCCTTACGCCACAGTTGGAAGCTAATTGTGAGTTGGGTACAGCGCTGTGACTCAAGTGCTCAGCGTTTTGTAATCTGTAATAATCTCACGAATTGCAGCAGCGTCTCGGTTTACTGTAACCATTTGCAAATTATAAGAATGATGGAGGCAAGATATTATACTCTCTTTGTCATCCAGTCGGAACCGGCTCATAGTTGACGCTCCATTAGGTTTCCTAAACTGTAAATTGCAGGGAGGAGGACACCTTTCTTTCTCCTGCAGAGCTGCTGGTGGATTCAAACTACCAGTCAGACCCTGCTAACCTAAGACAATGCTTAGAGCTAACTTTCTTGTTAAGTGCAGCACAACTAAGACTCTTAGAGACCCTGTGTACAACAGATAGGAACCTTACCCTGTCCTACACCATCCTTGTGATCTCCATCATGCTTGAAGCGATTGTTATCAATCTCCTTCAGGATCTTCTCTTTCTCTGACTCTCCTGACAACATGTCTAAAGTATTAGAGACCAAGTTTTACTTCCTTGCCTCTAAGGAGCACCTTGGTTGCACTTCCTCAGAGACACATTGGTTGGTTGGTTTTGCAGTCCATGTTGTGGACCTTTCAGTAGGAAATGACCTACAGCTGACTCCCGAACTGCTTTTCAGAGGTGGTAAATCGCACTGGAAGAGAATGCAGAGAAGCTGGCAGATTCAAATCACATACCTTTGCACTGGCAGTACAATTCCTTACCACTAAGCCACCAGAGCTCCCTTTATAGGTTCACAGTGTATCTAAATACTCATTTTCAAAAACAAAATTTGAAAGCATTTCTTTGGTATTCTTATATTGGAGTTTGAATACTTAATTCCCCATCCGGTTCTGGATCTCAAGATCTAGTTTAGTACTTTTAGTCTTTCCCTGCCCAAGACAGAACAAACCTAAGACTAAACCTTTGCACCATTTGTTTCCTTGCATACCTCATCCAAATCACACTTGGAGGGTTTCTTGACCACCTTCATTATTGTTCTATATTGAAATTATGTGTCTTCTACTTAAGTTCAGAAAAGCTAGCACTTTGTTTTAGTTTGCCCCGACTTATGATGGCCTCATAAATCAAAATGCTGCCAGTACTGTGCCATCACCAGAACCTGTTGTGTATAAGGGTTTCGTTGGCTGATTTTTGGCAGGTTGTAAAACCTTCCTTCCTATTTTCACTCTGGACTCTGCTGAAAGCTGTCCAGCAACATAGCAACAGGCAAGCTTCCACGAGTAGATGGGTGGTGGCTGCACCAGGTACAAACTAGGAATTATATTTAGGCCTCCCTATTTAAGAAATTCATTGTGGTTGAGTCAACCAACTGATAGCTGACCCCACAGAGAGGTGCCATCTTTGGATTAGCTGGACAGTTTACCATGGAATACTACACCAGCAGGTGTCATGGATAGAAGGTAAATGATTCTACCACAGAACCATCACTGCCCCCTAGTTATTAGTGGGCACTCATATTATTTGTTCAGGGAAGAAATATTTGAATGAATTCTTCTAAGTAGTCGCTTTACCTTAGCAATCAAAATATTCTCAGGGAAGTAAGTAATCACAGCAACAATTTCTGAAGGAAATTCTAGTATGCTTGGTTAATATGTTTTAAAGAATAAGAGTAAAGAAGTCCATATGGATTAAAATTCAAGCAATTGAAAAGGAAAGAAGAAAAAAGTGATAAAATAAACTGCTGACACCAGAGCTTTAATTATCACACTTTTATTAAGGAAACATCCACATAATAAGTGTAGAGGTAGTTCATAGTATGTCTAACATACAACAGTTTCAGAGCAGCTGTTCATGAGCTGAAATAAGATGTTCTGGGTTGGATATATATAGCACATTTTAGAATCAGGGACAATAGCAAGCCCCATATATAGATCTTCTAATAAACTAAAACCACATGACTAACTTCGTAGTCACTTCAGTTTGAAATTTGTCTTATAATAATTCATAAATGTGACACAGTAAGTTGTTTTTTTTTTTAAAAACAAACTATGATGGAGAGTCCTCTTATTTGTACCCTGGGAACCCATAAAATAGGAATACTGAGTGACTAATGTTTTAAAACTCTGTTCTCTGTTCAGGAGTATGACAAGTTTTTAAAATCATCTTTCCCTATAAAACTTATTTTATACCAGTAACTTGACCATTCTGCAATACAATCGAAGCAACATATACAAACAAAAGAGACATTAGGTTCAACAAAAATGAAGAAATATCTCACAGAAACAAAGAACAACTCTCCAGTCAAGAAATGGAGGAAACTGGAAGTCACTTCAGTGATCTGTATTTGCAAAAAGTGAGAACTGAAAGCTTTCATAAGAGAACTATCAAGATGTTGATGTTAAGGGATCAAAAGAAAGCAAGGCCATTTTAGTATTTCTAGTATAAAATCCAACGGACATATTGTGTTACCAAGACCACACGAGAAAATAAGCTCTTTAAGAGCTGTACCTATAATGTCCTTAACTTCATATCCCCAGTGTCTAGTATAGTGGCTGGCAACAGTAAGTGCTAAGTAAATATTTCTTGAGTGACTAAATAAACTCAGAAACAACTTCCAGCCATAGAAACCCATATTATTTGAACTCTTGCTTTGTTAGCCTTCAAACAATTTCAAGAACAAAACAAACATAAATGCCAGCAAAAGAGGCAATAAATTTGAAATATATCTGATTAAATGATGCTCAGAGAAAATACAAAACCAAGGATATCTTGATATTAGCGCCTCACTGTTGCATAGAATGGATACTCTTTGGCTGAACCATATGGAAGTCAGAATTCTAGAAAGCATCCTTAGACTATGTAGTGAGTGGCTTCAGGATAAACTACCCCTTTTCCCTTTTTACTGTGATTAAAAGCTTAGCAAGGTGTAGCTACTGATTTTATCACTCAGTTACATACTTTCAAATCTTTGAATCATTAAAATCATACTTCAAATTCTCATGCAAATGCATCAAATTATAACTAATTTCCTCAGACTAGTGAAGCCTAATGTTTTTAATTATCTGTACATGCACACAACCATAACTCAAAATTTAAAAAAACAATCAAGTATTGATGAGAACAAAATAAACTGTCTCCAGGTCTCCAGCCAAAATTAATTTCACATTTGGATCACATTCACCTCATTCTAAATTGCCAATAATGCCTTTTTCCTTCATTAACCAACACTGAGAAAAATCAGTCACTTTTTGGGGAAGGGTGTAATATTCATTCTAACCAGAAAACAATAAACTAACAAATACATGCCTCTGTGGTATTTTGTTGAAAATATCTTGGAATGTCAACAGGAATACACAACAGTAAAAAACAAAGCCAAGAACATTTGGCTAGGTTATTATTCTTGATCTTTTAAGGATGAATATAATGGAAATAAGTGAGGAGGCATTGGCTCATATTTAACCATGTATCTACCTTGATCAACATTGGCCAGGCCACCTCATTGGATTTTGGATGTCCCAACTAAAAATGAAGGAGGTGAAGTAAAGAATCTATTGTCTAAGGACCCTAACATTCTTACCTAACTCTAACTCAGCTAATCCAAAAGCCATTCTCTGGCAGTTAGAATCCAGGAGCTGTTCAGAGGGAGAAAGATGAGTGGTCTCCTCCCATGTGATTTATACAACTCTGAAAACTGGAGGGTTAGGTATGAGTCAGTTCTGACTCAATGGCAACAAATGAGAGTGTGTAACATACTGAAGATCAACTTTGTGGAACTTTCTATTTTAAAATGGAAAATCTGAATGCAAAAATTTGACAACTATACTTGCAAATCATTAGGAAATGAAATCCCTAATTATACCTTGGAAGGAACTCTTGTGGCTTGGTCCATAGGGTGTTCTGCTGTTAACAAAGAGGCTGTAAGTCTACCAGCTTCTCTGCAGAAGAAGGAAGAACACTCTATTCCCATGATTTACAGCCACAGAAACCCAATGGAGGATAATGATAAGTCAGAACTGATTCAAAGGCAGTAAGTTTGTGGGTTTTGGGTATTTTTCAGTGCCATCAACAAATTCTGATGGACACACTTTTCTTTTTTTTGTTGTTGTTGTGTACCATTGAATCAGATCTGACTGGCACAGATCCCTCCTTATCCAGTGGAACATCTTGTGGATTCAAACTATGTGCCTTTGGGATTGCAGCACAGCTTTTTGCCACTAGGTCACCAGAGCTCTCTGGACTCACTCTTCTGATGGATAAATTCTTAACTATCTTATTGGGCTTCAAAGGCTGAAATCCATAGGGAAGTAGACTGCCAAATATTTCTCTTTCAGAGTGGCTAGTGGTTTCAAACTACTGACCTTTTGGTTAGCAGCTGAATAATTTACCACTGTGCCACCAGAGCTCCTAGAAACAAAGTGCTGATTTTTTCAAATAGCCCCTTCTTTGAAGATCATTCTACTTCTGCACATTTTAATTGAGCCTGGAACAATCCTGATTTCAAACCCATCAACATTAAAATATGTGTTATGTGATAAGTATCTAGTCTCTTGGCAGGATGCGATATCAGGTATAACTCACTTCCAGCTAAGTGTTGTTACAGAATCACAATTCTACCTTCTTTTGATTATGTTCCTCATGGTGATCCCTAACTAGGTGCCTGCAAGTGTTGCTAAAAAATTGTTCTGCCATTTACATGAATAATCCAAAGGCATGAAGTTGTGCCATAATACTGTTGAATAGCTTTCAGAACAAACCATATTACTTCTTTATAATCAACTCTAAGACAAGTACAAAAGGTAGGAAGCAGATTCTTTCCTTGATCAGACATATAAGAATTATCCATAGGCAACTAAAAGTTCTACCTCACATTAATTTAAGGTCAATAGCAATACAGTCTTATTACCTTAGCTTGTTTTATGATAAAGGAAAACATCATTCACTTCTTTTAGCATACTGACTACTAGTAGAAAGTAGGTGATGTTATTAATTTGTTGGTACCTGTAGAATGTTTCCAGTGAAAAGCTTAAAACAGTGCCTGTCTGATTGACTTGTCTAGTCAATGTAAGGTAGACAAATGGAATACTCCTTAGGAAAGGAAAACAGACATCATAGGATAAAAACAGAAAATGGGAGCAGACAAAAGGAAGGCAAGACCACTCCATGTGGTAAACTGCCTGGTCAGTTAGTTCTTTGACTTATCCCCCACAACCTGAACAGAGCTTTGGAGACATCAAACTAGCAAAGTCATTCCTACTCTTAAGACTATTGCCCTGTTCTCAGTCAGTTCTATTGAGTATGAAGCCCCTATTCAGTTCACACAAGAACTATCATTTCTTAAGTTCAGAACAGCTTGGGCCAGTTTACCTGCATCCAGGACCTGTGTTGCATCAGGCTGTGGCTGACACCCTTTAGAATCTGTGACTGTTGTACATGCAAAGGAATCAAAGTCCACTGTGAGATCTTGTACATTTCTTTCATTGGCATTATCAAAGCTGTTTTTGCCATGGAGCTGTTTAAGGTGTTTCCTCAAAACTGGCTTATGTGCAAAAACCATGTCACAATAGTTACACTTATGGGGCTTATCTCCACTGTGAAGGTTAAGATGATCCTGTAAGGAACACTTCTGAGAAAAGGTTTTCCCACAGATCTTACACTGGAAAGGTTTAATGCCAGCATGTACACGCATATGTCGATGAAGGTTGCCTTTTTGAGTAAAAGTCTTGCCGCAGAGTAGACACATAAAGAGTTTGTGCATTTTTAAATGGTTGGCGTAGTTCTCCAGGTGACGAAACACCCTGGTACACTTTGGACATTGGTGATGCCACTGTAGGCCTTTGTCTACACCTCGAATATTAGGCCCAAAGACATCTTTGGAGGCCATGATGATGTTATCACTGCCTGTGTAAGAGAGAGCATAATTGTGAAGATGGTTTTGTTCTATTTCATTTACTCTGTTTTCCACAGTTGAATTTATCAGGGAGTGCTGGGGCTCTGATGAATGTAAGGTAGTGGGTTCAGAAGAAATAAATTGACTTTGGTCTTTTTTATTTCTAACCTCTGATACATCCCCAATAGATTCTACCTTAACAATCTGAATATCACTGTCCTCCATATCCATACTGTCTTCAGATGGATGAATACAAGGTGAGTCCTGTTTTGGGGAGCCTCTGGCATCTCCCTGTTGTTCTTTTGACTGGGGAGAAGCAGTCTGCTGTTCACATCCCTCTTTACTATTCATTGGTTGTTTTGGCTTTATAAACTTCCACAGCGCCTGTGTGCACCGTTCTACAATGTGACTCATCTGAAGAAAACTTGCAGCAGTCAAGTAATTTACCAGTTCCATTTCAGGGAATTCCAGCACACCACTATAACAGGATAATAGCAATTGTCTCCCCACTTCAGAACTTTGTAATATGGAGATTTTCACCTCTTTGGAATCATTCAGTAAAAACTGGTCTCTTAAGAAGGGGGAACCTGCAGCAAACACAATTTTATGCCCCTGTACCTCAATATCATCTATGAGAACTGTAACATCACAAAATTTATTCTCTTCTCTTAATTTGTTCATTTTTTGTAACATTGAATCTCCATAATTTTCAAACTTGAAGTGAAGGAGATCTGATCTTTCAGACATTTTTGCAGACCTAAAGAACAGAAATGTAAAAAGGTTGAATTTAAGAAAATTCAAACAATTAAGCTTGGATATACCTTCCAAAAACAAATAAAATTTTCAGGAAGCTACTGTAACAGCTTTCAAATGCAACTAAAGTTTACTTATTACCAACAGCAACTGTCAGTTACATTTAAGGAGTAAGCATGTACCTGTGCAAAGAGCCTAGTTTCAAGCAACTTTTTAGGATATTTACTTTAAGGACAGTGTTTTAGTTAGTCTGAGTATATTTTTTCTCCTCAAATAAGAATTCTATACAGCTTCAAAAACAAATTTACATGTACTAAAACAAAGATGAAGTAACTACTTTCTTTTGTAGGAAATGGAGAATCTGCTTCTTCTAAAGCAAAAGACTTTTTTCCCTTGACTTTGTATTTTAAATAATTTCAGCCGCTTTGCTAGGTCTATTTCTGGGCAAACCCATTTTCTATTTCAAATAGTCTGAATTTATTCAAGCAAATATTTCTATAATAAAATTAAAATCTTAGTGCAAACTTTAGCAGTGCCAGAGGTACAGTTCTTTATTCTGTGAAATGTAGACAAATTTAAATTCTTTTTAAAGAAACATATCTTGACATAGAAAGAACAATATTTGACATAAAGAAATCAAGTGAGTCACTGAATCTAATCAGTTAGGTTCAGTTAGATGTTGTTCTGTCCCCTGTTCCATGCTTCTGCAACTATATTATACATAATTTGATTATTAGAACCTCCTCCTAAAGTTTTCCAAGTTATAAAATCTATTTCCTCTTATCCCATCTCTACATTATCACAAGTCATCTTTCATAAGTAGTTCTTCTTATTATGTATAAAAATTCAGAATCCTCTTTTTGCCTCCCAGATAAAGACTAATCTAATAATCAAGCAATAATTTAAGAAAAATTCACCATCCAAGCCTAGAAAAGGTACACGTAACTCTTTACTCATTACTCCCTTTATAAAGAAATTCCTTTGGCAAAAATCTCCCATGATCTTATCCCATACACTCCAAATGATTTTATGATTATAATTTATATTCTGATGATTCTCTTTAAAGAGAATACTTTAATTATAAGCCACCAGTCATCATAAAAAACAATAAACTGGCATTCTATATTTTTATATAGTCTTCTGTGAGCTCTAGTCATGGTGTAAATCATGTTGTGCTGCTAATCAAAAATCAGTGGTTTGAATCCACCAGTTGCTGTTTTGGAAAATGATGGGCAATCTCCTCCCATGAAGATTTATAGCCTCAGAAATGTGATGCACTTTCACTATGAGTTGAAACTGACCACATGGCAGTGGGTTGTGAAATCAGTAGGTGTATCTATGAGCCTTTTCTACCCTGTAAACTCTGTGACACTAGAGGGACACATGTCTATCCTCTTCTGTGGGGTGAAGCTAGGAGCCGACATCTTCTGGGGCTAAACACTGTTTTTCCTACTGCCACACTACTGTCCTCTTATTAACCAAATCTTCTGTTCAAACTGGTGTTATATCTCAACCCCTAACATTTACCAACACATGCTAGGTGTTTAATTTACACTTGTTAAACCTAAAAAAACAATCTTAGCAGTGTTATGAATAAAGAACTGTTGCTAGGAAGAGACTCAGCATTAATAGAAGCACAAGATTTAGGCCTAGAATCCAGAAGGGAATGAAAATAAGGAGCAATAAAAAAAGGATTTATTTAGAAGAGATTGATAACTGATTGGATATAAAGAATGGGAAAAGGTGCTGTGTAAATATTTTTATACTTGGGGATACAACAGAATGAAAATTTTACTGAAACATGTGAAATTTAGGAGGAGAAACTGGTATAACACAGTAAAATACACTCATATATAAATGTTTTCCCTTAGTATAATATTATGAAAGTACAAATAATGAGTAACCAAAATAAAAACTTCTTTGAGACGAAGTATAAAAACAAATGTAGAAACAGAGAGGAGATAGAATCACTATGTAGATGTGGATAGTGAAAAGGAAATATGTGCATGATAGAGACTGCTTTTGTAATTTAAAGCAAAAAAGACAATTACCACTGATCAGTTTTAGCATTATACTAGCTTGGCATATTAATTTAAGAACAATAAATGTTCAAGTTTATAACCAGAAATTATAACAAAAACAATTTCAGGTAGCCAAATAAAAGTGGAATATTTTTATGTTTAGCTGGTCCCAAAAGCATTAAAGCTGACCATGATAACTGCGGTGCTCTCTTGGCTTAGTTGTAAAGAACTATACTGCCAGTGGAAACTTTCACAGTTGGAATCTACTAGCCACATTGTGGGAGAAAGTTGGGCAGTCTCCTCTTGTGCAATCTAATGTATCTGAAAACACTGGAGGGTCAGCCACTGAAGGGTCAGCCATGGGTTGGTTCCAACTTGACCAGGTCATTATTTTCTTCCTCACACCCAAAATACAGTGTTAACTGTTTCTGTGAGAGTAAGACAGTATTTAATATTTTAGACAACTATTCACAGGGATACTGGTCCTCTGTACTTAAAAATAAAGAGCTCCAGAAGGAGCCCTAGTGGCTTAGTGGTAAGGAGTTGGGCTGCCAAACCAAAGGAGCGCAGTTCGAACCCAGCTGCTCCTTGGGAGAAAGATGGGGAGTCTCCTCCCCAAAAATTTATAAAAAAAAAAAAAAATAAAGAGCTAGAGTATGGTTTTATTTCTTTCCTAACCATTCTGGAAAATTATTCAAATTCTGAAATTCAAAGAAACCACCGAAACCATATCCAAAGAAGGTACTTGATTTGATCTGTTTGTATTCCAAACATGTGAGAAAAACATTATTTTAGAAAGTTCCCCTAATATGTCCATCTATTTCACTGCTTCTCTTTGATAAGCCCTCATGTCCCCACCATAGTTTATCCTCTGTTTCTTGTCACTGGTCTCTTTCCTTAGTAGATTTAGTTATTTGAAAGCAGGGCACACTGTTATGTTTATATAACTCATTGAACAAAAATGAGCAGGATAATGAATTCTCAGTTTTCACTATGAGCTACGGTAAAGATATTGTTTACTATCATGAATAACCTGAGAAAAAAATTCTTCCTGAATTTATTTCCAGAACAGATTGAATAATGTAAAAGCAAAATTTAAACTATTCTTAAAAATATATTTATTTTAAAAAATTTTTCCTTTTCTTGTTGTGTGCTGTCAAATTAGATCTGACTGGCACAGGAGGAGATTGCCCCTCCTTTTCCAGCAGAGCATCTGGTGGGTTTAAACCGTGCACCTTGGGATTGCAGTGCAGCTTCTTTGGCACTAGGCCACCAGAGTTCCCTTAAACGAATTTTTTAAAATTTTATTTTATTAATTTTAATGAACATTTATATAAACTACTATTTTTTTAAAAAAAGCTTTTCAAAAAGTTAAAAAAGACAACTTTTATTTTATAAAAAGAAAAAAATGGACAGCTTTTACTAAGCTTTGCTATATGCCAGTAATGGTGCTGTGGGTTTACCTAATTTGATTCATTTCATACTTAAAATCCGCATGTGGTCCGTAGGTACTGTCTAGTCAGTTCTGACTCATAGGTACTCTATGAAAAACAGAATGAATCCTGCACCATCTTCACAATCTCTGCTGTTCTAGGTCACTGTATTAATCCATCTCATGGAGAATCTTTTTTCCCTTTTCTTTCACAATTATTTGTTCATTCATGCATACTTGCCTCCCTCTCCCTCCTCATCAATCCCCCTTCTAAGATTATTAATTGTCACACTAATGGTTTGTTTGTTTTTGTTGACCCTCTTCCAAGTCTGTTGTCTTTCTCCAGGGACTAGCCCTTCTTCATAACATGCTCCAAGGATGTAAGACAAAAAGTCTCCCCATCCTTGATTCTAAGGGTCTTCTAAGCACTTCTTCAAAGATAAATTTGTTTATTCTTTTGGTAGTTCATAGTATTTCAACATGTCATTATTATCTCCAATTTGAAATTCAGGAAACACAAGCTTAAAAAACATAAATATCTTGTTCACTTTAACAGAGGCTGAAAGTATTAAGTGTTACAGCTAGAACTCTGTGTAATGCAAAGATGTTATGCATGAAACAAAAGTAGCTACAGTTTTAGCTTATAGGTAATATAAACTGTGTAAATGCTCGAATCATTCTTATCCTTGCTCTATACCAACAAGTCAGAATTGACCCATAGCTGACCCTCCAGCAGGTTTTTAGAGGCAGTAAAATGCACAGGAGACTGCTCATCTTCAGCTGCTAGATTTTAACCATGTGCCTTCAGGTTGGTGGCACAATTCCACCAGAGCGCCCGGAGACTGTTCTTGTTGAGTATTATAGACGTTGTTGTTATTAGGAACTGTCAAGTTGGAACAGACTCATAGCTGACCCTTCAGCAGGTTTTTGGAAGCAGTAAATGGCACAGGAGGAGATTATCCATTTTTCTCCCATGGAGTAGCTGATGTATTTGAACCTAGTGAAACTCCTTACCAGTAGGCCTCCAGAGCTCCCTGTTGTATACTTATGATTTGTATACCTTTGTGTATTTTTGTAATGCTTGAATAAAAGGATGACAAATAGAAGAACTTTGAGCCAAATTTATGTCTCTGTACAGTTATGATTTGTACGCTTTTTAATGACATTTCTTCTTAAGAAAAAATTTTGCTTAAAAATAAAAGTACAGCTTAAAGCCAAATGTATGTTAAGTATGTTCTGAGGCTCTGTCTAACATACTTTGGACATGTTGTAAGGAGGGACCAGTCCTTGGAAAAGGACATCATGCTTGGGAGGGTGGAGGGACAGCGCAGGAGGGGAAGGCCCTCTATGAGGTGGATTGATTCAGTGACTGGGTTAATCAGGATGGGAGTGTCAGAGACAGTGCAACTGGCACAGGACAGAGCACAGTTTAGGGCTTTTGTTCATAGTGTCACTATGAGTCGCAAGCGACTCGACGGCATATAACAACAACAAAAATATGTTCTTGTTGTTGTTGAGTACTGTCTAGTTTGAACCAACCCTTAGCTAACC